TGGTGGGTAGTTTTCTAAGCATTCGTAATAAATCTCAAACAAATTATGACGGCATGTGTAAATATGCAGCCTGAAAGCATACATACATAGCTTGCAAATAAAAAAGTGGGGGAAATCAAAATTTATGTGTTCAGAAAAATATATTTATCTAACTATGTTATGTTGTTCGAATGAACAGAAACGCTGCTGCTCTGAAAGTTTTCAACGCAAGTCGTGATGCTGGAGACAGAGGTACCTCTACGTTGGAAAGACCAGGTGGAAGAGTACTTACCTTCACTTGGCATTTCCAGTTGGCGTCATTTGGCACAGAAGATAAATTACTGGCGTTCTGTTTTGGACTTAGCCAAAATCGCTTAGGCGGTTACAGCGCCAATAAAGAAGAAGAATAACTCTTTTCTGAGTGTGTAAAACAGCTAAATTGGTTTTTTGTTACCTATAATTTCTCTATTTGATTATCGAATTTTATGAATAATAGTCCCTTGTGGTCAGCTGATTAAATTAGGTCACATTTTGGTCAATTTTGGCAATTCTTCTGCTAATTTAATGTTTATATTTTTTTTTATAAAAGTCTAGCACATTACATAACCAGCAAAACATATATCCATATTTCAAACTTCGTACAAAAATTATAAAACTTCAACAAGCTTTAACAATTACAGCCAAGAATTTTAAACTTTTATTCAGTTTTTAGCTATTAAATTTATAAGTGAAAATTTCAAAACGCTTGGAAATCGCGTTGATTTTCAATATTTTTTTTTTAGCTGACGGTCTTGTGCATTTTCTTCCATACAAAATTATTTTTCATGTAAAGTATGCGAAAATTATTGCAGCGCTACCGAATTCCCCAGCATCGAGTAGAAAATTCCATATTCCCAGAAGCGTTATAGATTTTCATAGTATTTTATACACTCAAAAGATCGACTGAAGCAAATTTAAAATTACGGAGCTACCATGTTGGCAATTTTACGCTAATGCGGAATTACAGATACTACAATATTCGAATGTAGTTAGAAAAATTAAAGAACAGCAAAAACAAAAAAAAACAGCATAACGTAAACGGCTGTATTAATTATCCTTCATGCTGCTCACTGCCTACTTTTTTTTTCATTAGTACATACATATTTGTATACTCCTACCCAAGTTGCTAATACAGCAACAAAGTGAAGCCTCCCTTTGAATATTCCTGCTTAAACCATTATGCTACAGGCAACATCTCTAGTGTCTGCCTGCACGAATACAAGAAAGAGCCACTATGCTCGCGGCATACACAGTACATGCCTTCTTCAAAGCATTAGCCTCAAAGCTAACGAAGCAGTTATTTAGGCATCGAAGCGCATTTAAAGCGGTAGTGCAGCTTAACTAAATTAAATCTTTGCTCCTCCGTAAGCTTTGATAAGCTTGAAATTATCTTTTTTGTTTTACACAATTAATAGAATTTCTCTTCAAATTCTTTAGCATTGAGATTGCATAAGAAATTGCTTTAGCAGCCATTTCGCGCTTATATACTTATATGTGTGTTGTCTGTGTTTATATGAGCTCCAGTTTCGTTAATTAACGTCTATTTGTTTGGGAAGCGGTCATCTGTAGCACTCACTTGAACGGCAACAAATTTAAAATGGGATGTGCTTAAATTTAATTAAATATTGTGAAGATTATGCACAGGATACTAATAGCTATCCCATTGATGGATTAAGTTGGGGTAAAAAGTCGATCCACCACCCAATAGGCTCGTTTTCTTAAATAACTTCCATCTCCTGGAAGACAACTAGAGTTCTCATTTGACCATTCCTAAGTAAATATAATAAATTTATTACTTGTAAATTGACGCATCGGACAAAACTTAAAAGCTAAGTCGAATGTGCCAGGCAAAGTTCCGACACCTTGTAAATAGTCAAAAATAGTGCCGGTGGTGTCTGTAGAAATATACCAAGTCAGAGTAAATAATCCCAAATAATGGATGTGAAGTTTAGATATGACCCTGAGCCAAAAAATTAAAGTAACCCATATTAATATGCAGGAAAACCTCCAAGTGACATCCTGCCATGTAAAAGCTTCTCCTAAAACCTAGTTGTTCCGCGCAGTGAGGCGGATGTAGCTATTGGCCTAATTTAGGAGCCCTAGATTAAGAAAGTGACAGCAAAGCGGTTTTCACATGAGTTGATTTTAGAGGCGATTAGTTTGATCTTGCCTTGTTCAAACCGAGGATTTTAGAGTATCATATAGCCCAGCAATGTACATATGTGGACATGGGCGTGCGCAGAACATAACTTGGGAGGCCTGAGATTTTTTGTAATATAAATTTTATTAGAACTGTTAAAATATAGATACCTAGATATTTATAATAAATCACCTCATTAATTTCTCTCTTTTTAGTAGTAGTAGTAATTGTAGTAGTAGATTGGCGCTTTCACATATGTTAGTGTTTGGCCGAGCTTCTCCTCCGACTTGTGGCGTGCGCCTTGATGTTGTCACACAAAGCGGAGGGACCTACAGTTTTACGCCGACTCCGATCGGCGATTGTATTTTTATGAGAAGCAGTTTTTCATGGCACAAACACACTCCGAGGTTTGCCATTGCCTGCCGAGGGACTCAAAAAAAAGGAAGCAGATATCCTCGGCATATTTGTTTTTATGATTGCGATAATTCTATCGGAAAGGTGGCACTTCAGGAGTAGCCCCATACTAATTTGGTTTGGATCCCATCGTTTGATCATGCAGAAATTAACGGTACTTCTAAATGTTTATATGAGCATATTTTCAGCCGTCTAGTTACGTAGAAAAAAGGAAATAAAGGAAAAAGTACATAAACAGGCGCTTAAAGAGTACATTTGAAGGAAATAACATCTGCTCATAAGATCTGGTTCTGCACGGTCCATAATTGTTAAAAGTTTAAATGAAAATACGAATTTTTGAAAATAGCGTTCGTGAAAGTACCAATACTTAATAACCTTGCAATTTGCTAAAAATTTCCAGTTATTTGGATTTTATTTAACACTTAAACTGAAAATATCACAAAATTCGAATTGGCTCAATTTACACGCACTTTTCATGTCAAATTACTTTCTTAACATATGTTGACTTTGAAAGAGCGAAAGTGTCGTTTCATGTGTCAACTGCATATAAATTGGCATTCACCATAAAATCTTAATCTATTTGCTATAAAAAGGCATTACAGAAGTCCGTTTTTGAAAAATCAATGGCTTTTGTGTATGGGGCAGTCAGTCCAGGGCACAGTGGACGCTAAGCATACGTAAACCTAAATTAAAAAAAAAGGAAAACAAACTTAGTAGAAAATATTAAAACTAATAATTGTTTTACCATTTTTTTGATGTAAATGGCCGATATGGTTGATTAAAAATCATTAAATTTTCGGTTACAATTTATTTTTGTTAAGGAAAAAAGCGCCAACCTGCTGTTTATAAACACATTTTATAAGACTAAGAGCCAAATTCGCAGTGCGTAGTTAACTCAGCATCGGCAGTTAATTACAGATTTTTGCATTGAAAATCTGTGGCAATTGTGAAATATTAATAATAACAATAATTGAAAATACTGGCATTGAGCCACGATTACTCTTGACCTTAAATGAATTGTCCTTCGAAAAATATATGCAAAATCCAGCGCAATTAAAAAAAAAGGTGTGTATGTTTTATTATTCTAATAATTCAGGAAGCTGAAACGGCCAAAATATACTTAAGGGGTTCGCAAGGTACCATAAGAGGCATATTACGAATCTGCACGCGGTTAAGAAATGGTCGGTTGGGATTTCAAATCCACTAAAAATTTAATTAACCGGTAAAAACTTTACGATACAAGACAATAAGATACTTACGGCACCCTATGAACCAACTTAATATTTTCCCAAATCAATAACATAAATAAATAATAAAACATGAAGTAAAGCTTTTCTCTAGACGCTTCCGCTCTTCTCGGTTTCGCGTTATGTATAAACTGGGAACTTCATAAATGCGTTCCAAAATAGTACAAAAAAAGGAATTACGAAATTTAAAGCCAGATTCAGTCGGTCTTGCTGTTCTTCCTTCATAGCACTCAACTATGCGCAGTTAAGTCTTCTTGAAAGAACACCTCAATACATATAGCTCTAATAACGAGAGCAAATGGTATTTGGGCAAATTCCGCCAGCGATAATAGATTAGTCCCGTGTTGTATTCGGGATCCAATTGCTCAAGGTTGGATCGTGCTTCGATCTAAAAGCAATCAGCTGCTGGACTCGGTAGTGAGAGGGGAAAAAAACCTGTATACGCTTACAATGGCTTCTTTCCCTTAAAAGTCCAAGGTCCATATGGCATAATCCTTGCAATGCTTCAGGCCACCATCTTTTTGTGTTACGATCCATAAAAGCTGGAGAAGGATAAAAGTAGTATTTGTACAAAAGCCAGAAAGTAAAAACTGCGAAACAGTAAACTACGAGTACCATAGACTAGAGCTTCCTATAATGGGTTCCGCGGAACCCAAGAGTTCTGTAGAAAAGTCACCGGGGCTCCGTAAAATGAATTTTCGTCTGATTAAGCACGACGCACTACGGTTCCTGAGCGGAAAAAATGCAAAATGATGAAAACCTGAAAAACATTTTTTTCATATTTTGTCTAATTAGCAAATTACTTGGGACTGAATCGAACTTCTTTGAATGCTATAACCTTCTTCAAAAAAAATCGGAGAATTTTTTTTTGTTGGTAATGGATATTTTTGAATAAATTTAATAAATGTTTGATTTATATGTTCTTACGCTGTGTAAAAATGCTTAAATGTAAATGTAGAAAATTATATTTCTATTAGAATTTGATTAACAAAAATTGATACAAACACTTAGTCGTGAATTTTCGTAATATTTTATCCTTAGACAATCTTATAGAACCGTAGATAATAGATGTTCAACTTTGTATGAAAAGTTGTTAACCAATATTGTAATATACATACATATTCAACACATTGATAAGTTATGAAATATATAAACAAATCGCGAAAAAAGTCTTCACTTACCTTAATTTCCTAACCCGCATCACAGAGATAATGACAAGGAGATTTCCGAAAATGGCGGCAATAATGATGAACAGCATCAGCGATGCCTTCAGTACCAGCAATACAACATCGAACCACTCGCTGCTACTCGTGCTGGCACCATCAACACCTTCCACGCCGTCGACGCCAGCCTCCTCAGACAGCGAACCATTGGCCGTTGTTGTGACAGCAGTCATTGTGACACTAGCCACGCCCAACAACGCCGAGGTCGCATTGGCATCCAACTGCGACAGCATGCCACTATCCAGTACAGCCTGTGACTGCGGTATCAAATGCTTGACGGCGATGCCATGATGATGCGGTTGGGTATGCGTCGATACGGCGGCTGCAACTGCAACACTGGTATGCAGAAGCGCCGCCGCAAAAGCGGTGCTAAGATTGAAGCCCAAGCTGGGCGCGCGCGGGCGTGGTGATGACACTGGAGCCATTGTTGGCGTTGTTGCTATTGTAGCCCGTCGTCGACAGTGGTGTTGCTGTGTTCTGATTGCATCTATTGCAGCTGTTGGTGATGCGGGCGTTAATCGTGGCGGTGGCGGTGGCGGTGGCGGTGTTGTGGTTGCTGTGCGCGACACTGCGGCTGCTGTGGCAAGTTGCGACGGCGCTGCTAATGTAATCGTTGGCGCAGTTGCTGGTATTGCAGTTGCTGGTGTTGTAGCTGCTGCTGCAGTTGGTAGTGTTGCGTGTTGATAGTCTATAGTTTTTGGCTGCGTTGAGTCGGCATAATTTGCCGATTTGCTGATGGCAGCTGTCGCTGCAGCCAGCTCGTCGGCTGTTGCAATTGCTGGTGTTGCCGCTGCCGTCCGACTACATTTTCGTGGTTCAAGTTCACTGCACAGATTTCGTCTTTTTCGGCGTTTCGCGGATGCGTTTGTAGTTCTTTGCACTTTGGCGCTAACTATTTGACTTGTTTTTGTTGTTGTTGTATTTGTATTAGTTGTTGGTTGTGTTGTGTTGGAGCCTTTAAGGTGCATTGTACTCAATGGAAGAGTAGCAAGAGTATTGGTAGACATTATGAGTGATGTTGGTTTTGCACTTAGCTTTTTATTTTAAATTATATATGTATTTATATTTCTCTTATATTTTTTTAGTATATTTTCCACATCACATTTTGCAAACATTTGCAGTTTAGTTTTTTTGTGATTTTAATAATTTTTTCATTTCATTGCACTAACAAACATTGAGCTCGCTTGCCTTGGTATAAACCTGCAAATTAAGATTTTTTCTATTGGAAGACTTTTCGAAAATATTTATTTTTCAAAAATATTTCTTTCGCCGCCACTTGGACTCGTCCCATTGCTTGTCGACGACACCACAAACACTTTCCGTTATAGCGCGTGAGTTACGTACTCTACGTCCCGAACTGTACTGCGGACATATTGGCGGAAAGCGGTCCATCGACCGTCGACCGTCGACCGTGCACCGTCGGCTTGTCCCCGCCGTTGTCACACGTCACCAGCACAGCCATTCGCGCCGAAGCGCCCTCACCATCATTTCAATCGTCAAAAGCGACCATCAACAACACCAACGCCAAAAATGCTTTGGATATTAATTGCTGTGGTTGTTGTCTCTGTTATTGGCTATTTGTGTGTTTCGTTGTCGGTGTGTCGATGTTGTTGTTTGTAGCTGTCACTGTCGCCATCACCTTCACCGCGAACGTAGCAAAATTGCGGCTAGGCTAGGCTAGGCGCTGGATGTACTTTGTTGGCTGTGTTGTGTCTTGTGTTGTTGTTATTGTTGTCTATATATTTGCTTTATGTTCTTGAGATGTTATGGGGTTATTGTTCTTGTTATTGCTTTGGAAGATCGCCGTCTCTTGGATACTACTTGATCGCTGCTAAAATTTTTATTTCATTGTTATGTTGTTTCTGTTGTTGTTGTGATTTTTCTCTGATTTTCATATTTATTTATGTTCTTGCTAAATCTGAAATCTAAAATTTGCTTGTGTTTTATATCGTTATTTTGTTGTTGTTCACGAGCATATTTTTAAAATAAAATATTTTTCCATGAATTTATATAACTTAAATATTCACCATTAATAATTAAAAAAAATAATAGCTATGTACGTATTTTGTTATTCCGTGGTTTCTGAGTGGTTATTTTCAGTTTTCAAAGTGACCGCTTTGCTTACATTTTTGTGCTAACCTCGTTCTTACTACTTTCGTATTGCATACTTGAATACTTGCATACTTAAAATATATTGAGCTTGCCGGGAAGTTGCTGCCTTTAGTATTTTTTTTTAACAGAATGTAAATGTAATTATATAGCATCTCAGGGTACTATGTTTTATGAAAATGGGTATGTAAAATTTTTTAGATTTTTTAGAAGTTTTGGTGGGTAACGTACCAGTATTTAAAAAAGTTTCATGCCCACTAACAAAGCAGTGTTAAATCTTTCAACAATCTGAAAAAATAGCATCAAATATAATCTATCCGATTCAGGTAGTACTTGTTGTCGTAGTTTTTTTTTTTTAATTTATGTCATACTGTTATAGAATCACATAACGCTGTTGCAAGTGGACTTATAGTGGACATATAAGGAAAATTTGAAAGTTAGGCTCAAAAACCTGGCTACGCACATGGCCATGGGATCTACTCACTTGCATCGAAGAAGTTTAATTAATTTTTAACTGACTTCAAAAAAAGGAGAAGGTTATCAATTCGTCGGAATATTTTATTTTTAACCGACTTCCAAAAAAGGAGGAGGTTATCAGTTCGTCGGAATATATACATATGTTTTTTTTATGTATGTTACCGCATACCTTTGGACCACGTCAATATTTCATGATCCAATTATCGGATCTAAACCATATTACTATGGAACCACCTCTGAGACTCTACCTTTCCGAGGCAAAATTATCGAGATCGGTTGACGCGGTCCAAAAGGATGCGGTAACACACATAAAAAAAAGAAAAAAAAAAATTTCCGACGAACTGATAACCTCCTCCTTTTTTGGAAGTCGGTTAAAAATTTAAGATAATCGTTAATTTTTTCATGATGCAATGATCGGATTTAAACCAAATCAGAATAGGACTCGAATCAAATTAGATTGGGACCAACTGTGAGGTAACCCAATTTCCTTTAAAGAAAGAATTGTAGAAATCGGTTAACGTGGTCCAAAGTTTTGCGGTACATAAGAAAAAATATTCCGACGAATTGATAACCTTCCTCCTTCTTGTGAAGTCGCTTAAAAATGCATTTAAAGCTTTAATTTGTAATTTTTTTGGTTGATTCGCGATGTTTACAAATTTTTTATCCACACGTTTTTTTAGTTTTATAAATAACTATTTTAAAAATCAACTAGAAAATAGTTGACAGCTACAAATAGTAGCACCCTGTTCGCCTGCGGTTTGATTTATTCTGAGCAGATGCTCAAATTTTCACCAGGCCCTGTCAGTTGCCACGCAGCGCAAAGCGAAGCGTCAATGTGGCAAGCGGAGTACCTATAAGCGGCCCGGTCCATAGCAATCAGAACATAGCGGCAAGTGTTTGTGTTGCGGAGAACGGCAAAGTGTCAGACTGTTGCTTCCACATTTCGTTATTTGGCAAGGTTTTTTCTTTTGTTTTATTGGGTACCCACACGTTTTTGGCGCTGCGTTGCTGCGATATTTTTATAATACAACAATTTTCCAATATCTGTCCTAAATTGAGATTTACTAAGCATTTGTTACTTTTTTTCACGACCTCACCAAATAAGTTTGTAATAAAACTTGCAACTTTTCTTTTTGAGCACTTAAATGCCACTCCAACCTTTTTGCTTTTCAGTCAAAAATATTGCTACAAATGTAGTTTAATAACTATAACAATTTCAATTAGTTTCGAGAGGCGCTGGATAATATGCACCTGATTTTGAATGATTTGTTAGGTCGCTGTTTCTTTTTATTTACATTTCATTTTGAATTTTGAGGCTGTTGCAATTAAGTGGCAAATCAAAAGCCGCCCACTGCCCGACCACGTCAACGCTTGAACTGCGAAATTAATTCGTAAATTCAATTTCATCGCTGCTCTTCGCGTGCATGATATGCTCCCGGTTAGCACACACACATATTAGATATTAATATTTTCTGAATGATTTTCAAAACCAAGCAACGAATGGAATTCGCGTATATGAAAAAAAATAAAAATTATCGTTTGCTTTATATGTTGTTGTGTGCATGGATTTTAATTAGGATATATTTTTGTGTTGTGCAAAACTAAAAATTGGGGAACGTGGCTGCGGTTATTGTTGTTGGTTCAACGCATATTTCCTCATTGTTTGAAAATGCCTGGTTTGTTACTCTTTACAAAATGTTTGTTTATTGCCAGTGTTGCTAAACTTATTGTTGCGCTGCTGCTCCAACTATAATTTTAGTCGTTGGTATAAAATTTGTTTTAGACTTGTTTTGCTTTTGCTGTTGCTATTACTATTATTGCTAATGCTGTTGTTTTTGTGGGGAACGTAAAGTATTTGTTATATACAGTTTTTGTTGTTGCATTGAACTTTTTCATTTTATGCATAACAGTTATTTCATTTCTTTGTTGAAATTGCTGTTTGTTTTGTTGGCCATTTTGATTTTTTCATTCCCATTTCCATGATAATCAACATAGAAATTAAGTATTTAGCCATCGCCAACATCTTAATAATCAATATATGCAGCTCATTTACGCGACATTTGGCTATTCTGGCAGCGTGCCAAGGCGGTGTCATGCTAAAAGAGGCAGAAAGAGAGAGAGAGAGGATAAAAATTAAAATAAGTGTTGTGAGTAAAATGTGCTATTAATAAATTATATTTTTTATTATTTTTTGCCATATAAATATGTATGTATGTGTAGTTAAATACCTATGAAATTTTCATAAAAAGACAGCATATAAAATTTCGGATGGATACTCCATACTTTCCAAAACAACTGTTTACGATTACAGTTAGTGTGAAGGTCAATTGCTTATAAGTTGATAACAGCTAAAATTTTGGCATAGAAATTTTCAAAAATTAATATTTTTTATAAACATATATATTTTATATATTACATTTGCAGGAAATATAATTTTTAGATATGAATTAATTCCGGCGCTATTTATTGATATTTTTTCGGCCGAGAAATTAGTGAACCATATTGGGCAGTTAACAATATGCTTTGGAAGAACTTGATATCTGCGCCACATACCTGCTTTCTGAGAGCACTCTTCAACCAACCGACTACGCGAGTAGTGGAGCCATAGGGAAAAGCTGTGATCAGGCGCAACGCAAGCCATGTGGGACCGTTATAGGAAACTGCAGAGGGAAGAGAGACGTTTTTACCGTATTAGGAAGAGACAGACCGAAATACGTGAGTGCAAAGAGCTATTTATGCTGACCAACAGGAAAAATACCCAAACATTTTGTCAGAGAGTTGGGCGACTTACGCGAGGTTTCAAGACCAGGGGGAACTTCTGTAAGAACAATAATGGCGACCTAGATACCGATGTCCAGAAAGTACTTAAATTATGGAGGGAACACTTTTCTACCCTATTAAATGGCAGAAGCACTGAAAGTAGTGGAGCTCACGAACCCGAATCCACAGTCGATGACGACGGAGTCGATGTCCCAGCGCTAGACTATGACAAGGTACGAATAGCGATTACGCGGCTGAAAAATAACAAAGCTGCCGGAGTTGACGGTCTGCCAGCCGAGCTGTTCAAGTGCGGCTGCAAGGAACTGGTAAGGTGCATGCATCAACTCTTACGCAGAATATGGTCAGATGAACGCATGCCAGACGACTGGAATTTGAGTGTGCTCTGTTCAATCCACAAGATACTCGACCCGGCCATTCCTGCAAACTGCCACGGAATCAGTCGTCCAAGCATAGGTTACAAGGTCTCATCGAGTGTATTGTGTGAAAAAACTAAAGCCCATCCTCAACGAACTGATTGGACCTTATCCGTGT